ATTTTTCAAAAATTATTTAATTTTATTTAAAAATAAGAACATTATCGTTTTTTGAAAACCATATTATATCATCATATATAAATAAAAACAAAACATTAAAATTAAGATATATTTCGTTATATTATACAAACACGATTCTATTTTCATATAAAAAATAGATAAGAAAATAAATTTCAAGAAAAGCTCAGAAGCCCAATAAAAGCAAGTTGGCTCTTGCCCGGCTGGGCTCTCAGCCTCTCACAAGTCCACCTCTCGGCTGACTACTGTGCCGCACCGAACCAACGAAAAGGAGCTCGAGGGAAACATCGACCACCGGCAACCGGATTATTGATTTCAGAATCATTTTTCTTCATAGATTGAAGATCACGGTAACTTTTATCATCAAAAGTCCGACTATTGATCTTGTATTGGTTTCCGTATATAGGTTAAAAAGCTGTAATTGGGATTGTACTTGTTTGAAATTAGGGCTCTTTGGTTACCTGTGTTACTGTTTACTGTATGATTTATGAGTGTCGAGGAAAATTTTGTAATACAGTTGTTTACGTAGGAGGGTTCCAAAGATTTTAGATGCTTTGGTGCTAATTAAGAGTTTCGAGTTTAAGGGTTCGCTTCTGTTTTTCAAGATACAATAATGGATGTAAAATGTTGATGTGAAATAGTTTGTGCTTATGCTTTAACTTTACAAATTGATGTCTTTTGTGATGTTGGGCGGAGCTTACTTCTATTTTTTCGTGTGTAGTTTGGTAGTTTCATGGGCTTCGATTTGGGTTATGTTTTTATAGAATTTGGTGGATGGATTTGCTATTTTGGAATGTTTTACTTTAGGTTATAAGGTATGAAATTATTATTTGTTGAAATGTTTATGTCACTGTGGTTTTCTGACCGGTCATGGAGGAATTAGGTTACAATCATAAAATGTTTTAGGTGGTTTCTAACTGGTTGAAACAAAAGGTAAGTTTCAAAATGACAATTAAACTCATGTCATTGGCCAACAGATAAATATTTTGACGGAAGGATGAGTTCTTTTTCAATTACAAGGAAGAAAACACCTTTTCAAAAGCACCGTGAAGAAGAAGAGGCAAAGAAAAAGGTAAGACCTTTGTCTAAATCTTTGAAGTAAATATGTTTTTCGTCTTTTTTAGGGATTTGACGGACAACTCATTGAATACTACTTTATGCAGAGGGCTGAGGATGAAACAGCTCGTCTTTATGCTGAGTTTCTGGAGTCGTTTCAAGGGGATAATGCACCTGGATTAAAAGCCTTTGTAAGAGGAGGAACAGTTAACCCGGATGACAAAGTGAAGTCTGATACAGGTCTGTTTCTGTTAACAGGGCTTTGCATGCATTTTTCAATTCTGAGTTATTACACATGTTATTGTTTTGCGCATATATATGGATAAATGAATGATTTATTTTCCATGGACACATTAATAAGCAAATGGGCCTTTTTATTCATTCACGAACGCAGGTGGAAATTCCAAAGATGTATCTGGTTCAAAGAAGGGGAGTAGGTAAACAAACGCTTTTGATTAACTATGTTACTCTGCTCTTATTATAAGGAATTCTGAATATAGAAGCTATAAGGTGATGATAAATGACATCAAACTCTACTTATCTTCTATAGGATGGTAACTTTAAGGAGCTAGGAGCCTCATCATATCATATGTAGCTCCTGCTTTGCATTAATTTTAGGCCCTGCTTTGTAGTCAGTATCTTCAAAAGGCAGTTCAAGTGTCAAGCAACTAATATTGGCCAGTTTTTTTATTGATAAGATTTCCAGCACACTTTATCTGGACAATTAGTTTTGATTTGCTCGTATAGATCTTGGTGATCTGAAATGTTTGTACATGCATGCTTAATAGTTGATTTAGGAAATTGTAGGACACAAGTGTTCCCTTTACCCCATCGATAAATAGTGTTACCACCCTCGTCTCTCTGTCCTCCCCCTCTCTCCCCGACACACTCTTGAAGGCTGCATGTTTTTTATTGTTAGAGAAGAAGTAGCTGAGTGATGAGCTTCAAAAAATGACCTTGGCAAATCTCTTGTTGTTTGGAATAATCTGGTTACAGTTATTTTATTGCATGACCTGACAAAAAGAGGCAAGTATTCTCCAAGCACCATTCGTAAACTCTTTTTGTACAGCCCACCTAATAAAATCTGTTTTTTGGATGTCTTTCTTTGGACTTCACTTGAGTTTTGACTTCTTGATTTTTTTGACTTTGTTTGAATTTGGATGAGCTTACAGTGTCTTTGGTTCTGTGGGTTTGGAATGAAAAATATGATAGTTCTGGTCTTTGTGTGAAGAATGCCGAATTTCAGTCGGTGGATCGGATAACGGTTTTCTCGGTTCAGTTGTTCACTGGAATATATAGGTTCCACAAATGTTATGTAGCCCTATGTTTTGAAATTAGTAGGTGGTTACACCATTATCATAGTAGGAAACACGATGCCTGAATTTTATCTATGCTGAGTGTCTTTATTGATTACTGTTATTACGTGCTTATATGCGACTTTGTTTGTGATGGCGAGTTACGTCAGGACTAGTACAACCAACCAAGTTACCTGTTTTCTGATACACTTCGATTCATAACGAATACATGATTCATAAATTGGGGGTGGACTTGGTTTATATGTCATTTTGGTTTGCAGGATGCTAGGGTATCTAATATAAACATCCTTCTACTCTATATATATCTAATCAATGATTTTTTTTCTTCTCTACAAGTGATACACAATGGATAAAAAAATTAATGTTCTAAAGCAATATTGCTGTCGAAAAACTGAATTTAAGGTCATACTTGTTGACTAGTTGGGCATATGTGTGTGTCAGGACATTATATATTCTGACATTAGTCAGAATATAAGCTCTATGGTTGATTCGTCAAATGTTAATTTATCTGGCTAATGCATTATGTTATTGAGCCCATACAAAGAAGTCTTTGAGATGAGGGAGACCAGACAAACGAAAGGATGTTCACAGATAAGACTTGCATAGGTCTTAAAGCTTGTCAATAGTAATACTTGCATAGACCTTGAAATTGTCAGTACGTGGGACCATCGCTTTTAACAAGTATTGTTACAGCATTAAAAATAGTTCAGAGAGAATACTTGCATAGACCTTGAAACTTGTCAATACGTGGGAGCATTGCCTTAGAAAGTGCTGTTACGGCATTAAATAAGTCAATAGATCAGAATTGACTCTCTTGATTTTTAATAGATGTTGCGTTAAAGGTGTGGGTTAGCAGGTTGCATGTTGTTTGGTTTTGCACAGTATCTGCTATACTTGTCATATTTAAGTTTATGTAGCTTCTCCCTAGATGCCGTAGGGAACATTTGGACATGAGGAGGATCATATGAAGTGTCGTCACCGCATATACAGTAGAATTATTTTAGAATAACTATCTTAGGTACTTGGATCGTAATCAAGATGGCATTTGTGATTTATGTAGTATCTACCTTTGTAGGCTAGGTGTGAGATTTTATAAAATATTTAGATGAAAAGTAGTGGTAGGGGTATGATTTATGTGTGCATTTTGTGTGTTTTGTTCTGTAGACAAGTAGACATATGTACAAGTGCCTAGAATATGTAATCGTGCATTGGACATTATGCATCATATTTTTCTCTCTGCAGGTATGTTCCTTCTTTCATACCCCCTCCCATGGCAACCAAGGGTAAAGAACACGAAAAACAGGTTAGTGAGACAATGAAAGATTTTCGTGATGTTGCCTTGTCGATTTATCTTGCATTTGTGGTTTCACGTCTTTATAGCTGATCCTAATGAATTTTTACCACTGACAGAGGGATGAGGAGAGGCCAAAGGAAAAAGGGAAAGGGAAGCCAAGAAATATAGATTATTTTATGGAGGAGTTGAAGCATGAGCAAGAAATGAGAGAAAAACGAAATCAAGAGCGTGAACACTGGCAGGATGGGCGTCAAAGTGCTACCTCAAATGTGAGATATGATACTCTGCCTATAAGAAACTTTTGAACTATAAATGAATTTGAATCTAATCAGTCATGTGAAATTCCTATGGCATGTAGATTAGCATCTGTTTGCTTGAGCATGTTACCAAAAATTAGAATGTGAAATGCCAGTCATACTCATTGATGCATGACTATGCATGACTTTCCTTTTCAAATATACATATTTTGTGGCACAAGCTACCTACCACTTTATGATTGTTGCTTCTTACATCCTTTAAAGTGATATGATGTCTCAACCAAACTTTGCTATTGTTCAATGAAACTACTTCGAGAGAATTGTCTGATAATATGTACATGATTTTGTATTGGCCATACATATAATGAGATCAATTTTTTATTGTTGTACTCCCACTGTGCCGAACTGCAACATTCCCTACTTTTGGTTGTCCTAGAAATTGCAATGTTTTCTTCTTTGGAAATTCCTTTCAAAATTAACCTTTTTTCCCCATTAACAATCATTACAAGACATTTGTGAAATTGATTGTTGTCCATAAGTTTTCTCAGTTTTATGTTATTAACAGGTATTTTAATTATTTCATCATTAGTTAAAGACTTATTTTAAACTACATGCCAAGTCAAATTTTGCATTTTTTTTGGACCAAAGGGTAGCATTTATGCCTTTCAAGTGTTTCACTGCAATGCATGCATTCTTAACACTTTCTGACATCTGTTTGAGTGTGTCCTCTGGACAAAACTTCATTAACCTTGATAAGACTATTCAGAAGATCTATACATATATTTAAATCGTAATCCTTTTTAAATCATATATTTTTGTATCTTACTCTCTTTCAGCTATCTAGTCGGTTTGATGAGTTGCCTGATGACTTTGATCCAAGTGGGAAGCCTGGCTCTTTTGACGATGGAGATCCTCAGACCACTAATCTCTATGTTGGGAATCTTTCACCTCAGGTCAGGTTGTGATACTAATACAAGCGCTTAAATGGTGAGGATATGCAAGCTAACCTTTTCATTATTATGCTAAAAAAATTCCAGGTAGATGAAAATTTTCTCCTGCGGACATTTGGAAGATTTGGACCCATTGCTAGTGTGAAGATAATGTGGCCAAGGACAGAAGAGGAGCGCAAGCGGCAAAAGAACTGTGGTTTCGTTGCTTTTATGAACCGTGCAGATGGACAAGCTGCAAAAGATGAAATGCAAGGTTAAGCTCATTTAAATATAATGATTTTCTGAATAGCAATTCTTAAATTGTTCTCCCATCTAGGATCGTGATGGAGAGCTTACTTGAGTTTTTTGGGTTATGTTACAATATTGAAATACGATGGGGTGAGCGAGAATTTTGCACATACATGGGGACCCAACCCAATACCGTAATACCTAACAAGTCGATTCTTTTGTCAGTCATATAGAACACCAACACATCGAGAAAGGGTTGAAGGAACCAGTCCATGACTTAACATCAGTAGAATGCTATCTCCAATTCCCTGTAAAACTACTTCTAAGTGGATGATATAAATACTTCATCTCCCTGAAATGGTCGCATCTTGAAGTCTCAGCAAGTATCATCTTTCTGTGAAGGGATAAATTCGTATCCTGAATATCTGATACAACACATTGAGGGTTGATATTTAGTGACAATTTACATATGAAACTATACCGACAAGAAAGTAAATACAAAGTTTATTTTAATACACATCCAAGGGCCAGAGTTTGAGCAACCACTAAGATGTTCAAGTCACTGAAACAGAGTAGTTCCAAAATGCAAGGGAAATCTTGCGTGAGTGGGCTTCCTCCCGTAGTCTCCAAATCCAGGAGCCATGGTGATTTTTTCAACAGGGGAGGATGATAATAGATATGAAAGCAATATGAAGTAGCTGTGAATAAGCCATCATCTGGACCTTTTTTTCTCAGAATGCTGGTGAGGAGTGAAAGGGTCATTGACCCAGCGGTATCCGGGTTAGCAGTAGAGCTCAGCCTCTTAGGAGGTCAAGGGTTCAAACCTCACCAAAAGTGAGGAGTGTGCGTAAGTATTTGCTGAATTGCTGCATATAGATATTATATACTTCAAAAACAACACTGTGAAATTGGAGTTTCTACTGCTGTTTACAGTAAACAAATTTGTAGGGGGTCTATCAGTTATAATATCTAAACATTCACTTGCTACCCTTCTAGATGGACGGTAGTGGGATTGGTAAATGGAAGTAGATGATAATAGAAGCTCCTCTGTTCTGGTTCCGTCTCTAATACTCATCAATATCTGAACACCATTAGCTTGAATGGAACAAAGATGGCAAGCTTGGTCAAGACTGGTGATCAACAGTGGAGTGGGTGGTCTTATTTGCATGGATGATGATTTTTGATAGTTATTTTCAACTTGTTTTCATGTCTGTCATGTTCACTTGAAGTACACATACTGGTTGATGTTTTATTGGATATGGATATGTATGTCCCTGATGCAAATAGAGTTCTTGCATCCTCTGTCTGTTTAGTAACTTCCCTTCTGATGAGGATTTGGAAGGTGGTATGAAACAAGTTTAGGATTGATGAAGAGTGCCATCAAGAACTTATACCCCATCATGATAGACTTCATGATTATATCTATGCTTTGCATGTGGAAGGAAGAACAATGACATGATACTAGGTGTGACGTAGAGTTCAACAATCTGCTTTGTATGGTTATGTTGAAAGCTTGCCAAATATACTGGTAATGGTATTTGCTAATAACTATGGATTTGGAGATTCATATTAAATCCAGTTCCATAAACCGTTAATTGAATAATTTATGTTGCGTTTGAACCCCTAACCTTTTTTTAGCAACAGTGATGATTCAAAGTTATTTAATGTTGCAGGGGTGGTTGTTTATGACTATGAATTGAACATTGGGTGGGGTAAATCCGTTTCCCTCCCCTCTCAATCACTCCCTGCTCCTCCTCCAGGACAGATGGCCATAAGGAGTAAAGAGGTATGTTATATTTTTATATATGTAACCTAGTATTGGCACAAGTATGAATGCAAGTCTTCCACATATTGGAAATTCTTGGATATAATTATTGAAAGCAGTAAAGACTTGCATGGGTTTTATGATAACATATTTAAACAGAGCGGTGCTTTTTTTGTGGTTTGCAGGGTGCTACTGTAATCTTGTCTGGTCCTTCAGGTCCCCCTGTTACTTCTGTCCCAAGCCAGAACTCTGAGCTGGTAGGTTAACCTTGTATTTCTTGAGTTATTTCTGACTGGTTGAACATATGTTACCTTTCCTGTTTGTAAAAAATAACATTAGTTTTGTTTGGAAGGAAAACTGAGAAAAGTAGGCATATATGACAATCCCTCTCTCCTTTTTTACTTTTATTTGCATATATGACCACATGATTGTAATATAGAAGTAGAGGCTTGGGAGGTTCATTGAAGCAAAAATTCATCTTAAGGGGTACCACATTGCATGTCTCTTTAGAGCACTTGAACATGCATAACAAACTTGGAATGGTCACCCAACATCCTCTCTTCCAATTCCTCTCTCCTCCTGGTTTTATGGTGTTGAAGGCTCTTGTTGGCTTCATTTTTGAGGATGCTTCTGTTATCTTTCTAACACCCCCTTCACATTTTTTATGAACTCCACATGTTGTCACTCTCTTCTCAAATTTAATCAAATTACATATTTCTTCCATATTTCACCAATGCTTATTAATGAAAGATGTAGTTGTACTCGTGTTAACATTTACTAATCCTGTGTTGATATCTATTGATGTTCCAACTTTCGTGCTTAGGTTCTTACTCCCAATGTGCCGGATATAACTGTTGGTCTACTTGAAGATGTTCATCTTCGCAAAGTAATCGATACGATGGCTCTTTATGTTCTTGATGGAGGTTGTGCTTTTGAGCAAGCAATAATGGAAAGGGTCCGTGGAAATCCACTTTTCAGTTTCTTGTTTGAACTTGGTTCTAAGGAGCATACTTACTATGTTTGGAGACTGTACTCCTTTGCTCAGGTACATACTTAAAATAGGTGCACTGTTACAGACTTACAGGTGGTTGAAGTACTTCTTTTTCTTTTAACGACCAAAATTTGGCATATCTAACTTATTTATTTCTTGTACCACGGGCCACATTATTTAATGGAAATCATGCTTAAGATACTGTCCCCAAGTAAGTGGCCTGGTTTGATTTTAGAACTCATGGAAAACTATATGACCTCGAGTAAATCTTGTGCAGCATAAGTATAGAGCGTTCACCATTATATTATATGCTCCTTGGTGCTAGGGATGTCACCTTGTACCTTCAAATATTCTGCACTTAATGAAGTATATCTATATGAAATTTATGGTTAGTGTATAATATATTTCAAGAAATAACACACATTTGGGGAAATCTGGGAAAGGGTATTGACAATCACCAGTGGTGATAGCATTCATGTTCATTAGTTTCTGGAATTTGAGATATTGTATCGGATGGAAAAATAATATTTGGTCCCATAAAATGCAGGGCGATACTTTGCATCGGTGGCGAACTGAACCTTTCATCATGATAACTGGTAGTGGGAGGTAATAAATGCCTGAAACATATTTTGATGCTTCAATCACAGATCATGCATATATCATTCATCGACATGCATCAGCTTTACTTCCATTTAATTTTGCATAGAGATCATGATTACTTAAATTGGTGGTGATGTTGGGAACTGATAGAAATAAGTTATGCTCCTTCTCTTGGATCGGGGATGATTCTACGGAAAGGACCACTTCTTCTAAGGAAACTAAGAGAAATGTTGAAATTCATTGAAAGTTTGAAAAACAAACTTGACTCGTGAATATGTAAAATGACTATATTACAAGCTGAGTTCTCTTTCCAGGCATTGAAATGAAACTGGAGTTTAACATCTCTTTCTATTTGTAGTTTGTCTGTTGACACTGTTTACATTTGATGTACATTTTATGCATGCTTAATCATGAAGTCCGCTTGGTTGGACTCATTCAAGAAGTTATTTCACATAGAACTAATGATATTCACTTTGCACTGTCTGATTGTCTAGATGGGTACCGCCTGCTTTGCCAACAGCCAAGAGCCCAGAGTATGAGGAGACTGGAGCAACATTTGCTGCTGGAAGAAGCAGGGTACTATCTTGTTAATGTTTTACTTTAGTTAAACTTACTTCAACTAGATGAACGAAGTTGTTTATATCTTCTGTTGTTTGATTCTCTTTGGCAGCGTGTGGAGTCCGAACGTACACTCACTGATGCACAGAGAGATGAATTTGAAGACATGCTTCGTGCCCTAACATTAGAAAGAGTTCAAATCAAGGAAGCAATGGGTTTTGCATTAGATAATGCTGATGCTGCTGGAGAGGTATTATGATATTTTCAGACCTATTCACCTCTTCTCGACCAGAGAGAGAGATAAATAAGTTGGATCCGGTGGTGGTCACAACCGCAAGTATATCTTTGTGTTTTATTTTTCCTTTGTTGCTCATTCGTCTCTGTTTTATTGCAGATAGTTGAAGTTTTAACCGAGTCTTTGACTCTTAAAGAAACACCGATTCCCACTAAAGTTGCGAGACTCATGCTTGTCTCTGACATTCTTCACAATAGTAGTGCTCCTGTAAAGAATGCATCCTCTTACCGAACCAAATTTGAAGCAGCTCTGCCAGACATACTTGAAAGCTTTAATGACCTCTATCGGGGTATCACAGGGAGAATCACTGCTGAGGCCCTTAAGGTAAGCTATACATGGCAGAAGCCACCTCCTCACTGCTTGTATTGCTTCTTTGTCAAGTCTAACTTTCTCATGTCTGCCAGGAACGAGTTTTGAAAGTTCTTCAAGTGTGGGCCGACTGGTTCTTGTTCTCCGATGCATACGTCAATGGATTACGTGCAACGTTTCTTAGATCGGGTAATTCTGGTGTTGTCCAGTTCCATTCCATTTCAGGTGATGCACCAGAAACAGAAAACAAGGCTATTTATGATGACACTGGTGATGTTGGAAAGATCAATCCAGATGCAGCATTGGCAATAGGCAAAAATGCAGCCATGAAAGAACTGATGAATCTTCCTCTTGCTGAGCTGGAAAGGCGATGCCGACATAATGGGTTATCTCTTGTGGGTGGCAGAGAAGTGATGGTTGCACGACTGCTTTATCTGGAAGAGTCAGAAAAGCAGAGGGGTTATGAGCCCAATGACAATTTGAAATATTCCCAGAACCATCCAAGTTCTGGTGGATATGTACGTAATCCAAGAGAAAGTAATGTCGATACAGGACCTGTGGGATTTTCAGGAAGGCATCACCAAGTGGAGGATGATATTCTGTCAGAAAGCAAAAGTTCTGCTTCTATAGCCCCAATGATTCCAATCCCACAGCCTGAGCTGAAAGCCTTCCCCAATAAAGCGAAAACTGATTCTGTATTGCCTGCCTCTAAGTGGGCCAGAGAAGATGATGAAAGTGATGATGAACAAAAGAGAAGTGCTAGAGATCTTGGATTAGGTTATTCTTCTTCTGGAAGCGAGAATGCTGGTGGTGGTCATAGTAACACAGAGGCGACGGAAGCTGCAAGCATTCTCACAAGTTCTGATGGTGGGCTAAGTGAAGAGAAGAGGTATACTTATACTTCCTTGCTAGTTAGCTATTATTCTTTACTTTCATACAATGATTTCTTTTTTGGTATTATTTAGATCAGGTGGTCTTTTTGGTATAAGATAGCATGGGGAATTTCCTCATATTCTTTATAAACATAGTATGGCCTATCTAACCAATTGGGTTGTGGCAGCCCGGTAAGGCTTAGGGGGGATGTAGTGGAATCTCATCTTCCCCGGGTTCGAATCAAGGTGCTGCCAAAGCCCTTGTGGCCATGGACATGGAGGTTCACCTGTGATGATTCCAGGTCATTCCTGGTACATCAGGGGATTACTCGGTGCACATAAGCTGGAAACCCAGAGTTACCTAAAAAAGTAGTATGGCCTACCTTATTTTGTTGTTCTTTGGTGGGAGTGTGATTGTTCCCCTTTGTCCCTGTAATTATCTTTTTTCCAAATGATAACTCATGCATGATTACCGCAAAATTTTGGATTTTTCTTATTGTCGTGAAAGGTAGTAGAAAGATTTAATGGAATATACATGCATTTAAGATAAGAGAGATTACTACGTAAAGTCTTTGGTTGCTTTATGATTTATCATGGTCCTTTCAACTTTATATTTGTAACATGGTGCTTTACTGTTCCATATGTGCAGACAGAAGTTGAGGCAGATTGAGATTGCTTTGATGGAATACCGTGAAGTCCTGGAAGAGCGGGGAATAAAAAATAGAGAAGAAATTGAAAAGAAAGTGGCAGCACATCAGAAACAGCTGCAGTATAAATATGGCCTAGTGGATTCCAGTGAAGATGCGCCAAACAACAGTGAGTTTTAAATTTCCCTCTTGGTTTAGCATTTGGTATTTTGTGGCGAATGTTGGTTTTGTTTTTCTTCTGATTCCTCATTTACTTATTCTGGAACATTTCTGTTTCAAAGTCACTTTAGAATATGTAGAAACTTGGGAGAATATGGTAGCAAGTATAGAAATCGAGCTAGGTATAAAATAATTTAAGGAAGACTAAAGATCAATATAGTAGCATGCGACAAACGAATACTTGCAGTTTATTTGAAATCGTTAACTTGTATCAATATAGATTACACATTTATTAGCATCTAATTGTCTTCTAGGTTTTGGCTAGCTTGTATGTTGAAAATTGAGCCATGTAGCATCATATAAGAAGTTTCTAATTGTCTTCTAGGTTTTGGCTAGCTTGTATGTTGAAAATTGAGCCATGTAGCATCATATAAGAAGTTAGTGGCAATTGTATTATTATTATTCCTTCCGTCTCAAAATATGTATCCACAATGAAAATGACACTAGGAATGTGTAATTAGTACACTTTTTAATCAACTAGATGACACTTTTACCCTTAAATATTAGATAGATAATTTTTCTTCATCTTATAACTAAAGGTAAAATTGGGAAAGTACTAACTTTTGAAAGTGAACCCTAAATTTTTGAACAAACTAAAACAGAAATGTGGACACTTGTCTTGAGACGGAGGGAGTATATGTTAAATATTGAGCCACTGTGTCATTTTGTTTTATTATACTCTTTGTCCTGTGAAAAGTTACAACATTTAATCATACACATAATTTGGTGCAATTATTTGACCGTCTATCAAAAGCCTCAATAACCCACCCAAATAAGGAATTGTGTGGACTGAAAAGTCAAGTGCATTAACGACGACTAACGATGACAAGGGACGCAGCCTCTCCGTCTCCTGAGACAGGTAAGGTTGGTTTACATTCTACCCTCTTAGACCCTACTTTTGGTTGGGATATTCCGAGTTTGTTTGGTTTGGTTTATTGTAGACGAGACAAATGGTTAGTTTTGACTTTGAAATTGCTAAAAAATGGAAATTGTTGCAATTTCATTGTCAGAGTAGGAAATTTGGTGTTAATTTCTCACCGTCGATGAATTCCCTCAGGACCTGGAATGGTTCTTGTTTCTGATCTACTCTATCATGCATCTATGCAAATCATCAAGTTGAACACATTTTACAATCTTCTATAACCACAGGGACACCATCTACAGAACGAAGGGATAAAAGAGACGATTCCCGTGAATCTTCAAGAAAGCGTCACCGAAGTCATCGTAGCGGTGAAAGCCCACCTCCAAAGTCATCGAGTAGAGACAGGGAGAAGGATAGAAATTGCGATCCACAAAGTGAGAGAGAGAAAGAAAGAGACCATGACAGAGATAAACGCAGAGAGAGAGACAGGGACAGCAGGAGACGAACCACCAACTGAATCAGAAACCTCTTAAGCGTTATCAATTGAGTCATGAATCAAGTAAGCTTATTTGCTTTTGGCCATTCGGGTATCATTTGGAACCACAATTTTTTAAAGTATATAATATTTATACACACATCAAATACTCATGGTGGCAGGTTAACAAGAACAATGAATATTCTGAGAACCTGGGAACTACCTATTTCATATATTAATCATGATGAACATTATTCATTATGAATATCTATCACGACATTCATCATGAATAATACAAAAATAGGTGGTTCAACAATTCTCAAAATATATACACTTCTCATTTGAACCTGCCTTGTTACTCACGCACACTTCTGAGTCCTCACCTTCGATGAGTTTTGAACTCTTAAACCTCTTGGGAGGCTAGACTCCGCCGGTAACCTGAATACTGTTGGGCTGATGACCCTTTGGTTAGAAGCGTAGCTTTGTATGTTTCTATGCACTAAATCGGTATTATGTTTGCCAAAATTTCAGGTCAATCTATGGCGATCCCGTAGTTCTATTGCAAGCAGATAGTTGAAAATGCAATTTCTGTGGTAGCGGTGGACATTCTGTCATATGTTTTTATATGGGAGAAAGTATCTATTGGACATATGTGATCTTGCTCAGGTGGTACGGTTAACGGATGATATCTGCTGTAAACGACATGGTAACTTTTTTGCGTGATTCCACAAGTCTTATATTGTACGGACTAGAAAGTATTTTGTATTCGGTGTTTCGGAATTTGAAGCGTGCATAGAAATGGCCTAATTCATGTCCAATTCTTGTAGGTATTAATTCAATTTTGTCAATGTAGGCTCTCTGTTTTAGAGATTTCTGTTGGATAACTGAAAGAACTCTACCTGTCTTCCCTTTTTAGTCGTCATTTTTCACTTTTGATCCCTTAAAAGGTTTAGTGATTTCTTTGAAAGTGGGACTTGAACATCAATGAGTCAAGATGTCGTTCCTCCGGTTTGGATTTTACTTTAAAGATGGGACCTGCTCACTAACGCCGTTAAAAGGGTCCATTAGAGCCAGGGGTATTTTCGCAATTTCTTTTTATTTTTTCTTATTTATACAAAACCCAGCAAACTATAGGGATCTGTTCATAGAGGGTATTTACGAGCGTTTTGTAATACCTTAAATGGAGGGAATCTTGGGAGGAATTCAGTCCGGAAACCACTTAGCATCACATGTGATGGTTTTGATGAATTATATCATCATATTAACAACACTCTTATCACATGTCATAATACATGTGAGGGGGCGTAATGGTGGTGTAAGGGCGACTTGAACCCACCCCCACATTTCCGGCCTCACACATTCCCGTCGACCTTGCCCTCAACCCCACCTTTCTTCTTCGTGGAACACTCACAATAACACAACCACCCTTACCCCACCTGTCTTGAAAAAGAATTAGCGACTGCTTCTCCCTCGCTGTTTCGTTGAAATTGGCGAGGAACATAGAAGATTAAAGGCCTTGTGGCTTGGCTTTCGATGAACACAACTTCAAATCTATCTCTACGCTCTATTTTGATTCATGCCCGCCTCTCCTCTATTTCAAAGAACACAAATTCAATTCCGGTTTAAGGTTTTGATCCATATTCAAGTCCAGTTTAGGGTATTTGATCCAGATTTAAGTTTGTCTCACAATTTTTTAGGGTTTTCATTTACTATTTGTTGTATGTTCTTGACACACTGATATAGAGATTTGTATTTGTATTTAGATTTTAGGTTGTTTTATGAATCTTAAGCTTATGAATGTTATCGCGGTTGAATTTTTTAGATTGTTTCGAGTAAATTATGTTTTTTTTCTTCATGTGGTTTGTTAAAAGTTACGGATTTCGTCTCTATTGTTTTGAAATTCCAATTTTTGTCCAAATAGTTTGCAATTCATTCTATTTTCGCTCGTGAGATCAAAATACTACTTGTGAGTATGAAATATTAAAGCATAAATGAATTGTAACCCATAACGAAAAACAACAAATTTTAAATCATAAGGACGAAAAAGGTAACTGAGCATAAACCATAAGGATGAAAATTGTAATTTTAATAAACCATATGGACTAAAAGTAATTTACTCAAAACAATTCCTAATTTTTTGATGATATTACAATTTTTTATATTATTAAAAATAATACTAAGATATTATTATCTATTTCCTAAATATCTAATTTTAATTAAATCTTATTAGAAAGGTACTCGTATAATATAACGAGATAAATCTTGATTTTAATATTTCATTTTATTCTTTATTTCAGTCGATGTTATAATATGGTCTTATGTGATTCTGAAAAAACGATAATATTTTTAATTTTGGATAAAATATAAATTTGAAGATATCATAAAAATATATCGATATTAGTATCAAATTAACTATTTAAAATTATTATATTTTGAATTTTTTTAATATAATTTCAATTTAGTTTCAATAACGAAGTAATTTATATTTCATTTAATAATATTTTTTATAAAGATAATAATTAATTATTTTGTTAGAACTC